GTGTGGGGGAAGGGGGTCCGGCCCCGACATCTGCTAGGGGGCCCAGAGCCTCTCCCCCAGACTCAGGAACTGCTCGAGGGCTGTGTGCACGGGGTGTGGGCTGAAGCAGGAGGCTGCCTGTGTCTTCCGCTGCTGATGCTGCCTGGAGAGTGGCCTCTGTGTGCATCTGGAGGGATGATGGCGCCCATCCCCAGGGCCACTGTGTGGCCCCCCAGAAAAATCTTTATGAAACATACAGCGTGAGCCTCTCTGGCAGAGTGGCTGTGGCCTGGGGGGTCAGAGCCACACAGTACACTGCCCAGAGCCTGACCAAGAGCCCCTGGCCAGGGACAAAACAGCTGATGTCCCTTCCCTGCATGTCCCCTAGGCAACGAAGTAGTGCTGAGGACAGAGCTTGTCCACTGTATCCTCAAACCAGGAGCCACCGAAAGGCCTAACAATGGAATCTGGTGACGCAGACACCACACCGACGCCAGGTAGAGGACACGGAGTTCGGCCCCAGCACCTACGCCCAATGGGCAGGCTTGGTGGTCGAGGCAACCCATGGCCCAGCCTTCCCCTGGCCAAAGGCAGGCACGTGACCCCAGCTCGGCCAATCAGATTTCCCCTTGGACCTTGACACTAGCAGAGAGGCCAACAGCCAGAGCTGATCTGGCCCAGAAAGGGGGCTCCCTGACCACCTACCCCAGCATGGCCTGCACCCCAAGGCCCAGCGCAGGAGACCCATCCACGCAGGGGTGCTTTAGAAGCTTCCGCCCAGCTCCTCGGAGCGCTGTCACATTGGCTATGTTTCTGTCACTTGCAGCCTCAGGATCCTTACTGCTACCATGGGATGCAGTCCAAGTACCAAGAAGCAAGCAGCATGGCATGGCCCTGAATACGTGATGTTTCAAAGCAGTTGACAAAAAGGGCGCACAGTGTGACTGCAGTTTTAAGCGACACCCCCCACACACAGAAGTACGTGGACAAAGTCCTGCTGGGCAGGGTTTTTTTCTGTCTCCGTACTGTTTCCTCGTTTCCAAATGTTCCATGAATGTGTATTACTTTTATAAACCAGAAGAGAAGCAATAAATGCTGTTTCTTAAACAGAGCGTATTTCCTTCCAACTAACAGTAAAGACGACATCAGAGCCAGGCCCACCCATAGGACATGGCTGCTCTGCCACCAGCCTGCGTCGGGCACAGGGCCGACCTTGCCGGAGTTGCATTAAACTAAGGTGCTGTGGTCTCTGTCAGGAGACCCCTAAGTGATCTTGAGTCCCCTCTGAGTGGCCCTCCAGTCTGCACTCGCCACCTCTGGGCACGGGGTGCTCACCGCCTGGCAGGGCCACGTGTTTGCACCAGAGGGACTCCTTCATCTTGGGCCGAGGCTCAGGCTTCTCTCTGCCTCAGGGCCTTTGCATGTGCTGTTACTGCTGCCTGCTTCCCCATGGTCTCTGCATGGCTACCCTAGTCTTATCTTTAGGGTCTTGCCAGAAACACCCAAGAACTCAGGGCTCTAATGGGAAACAGGCCCACACGCTGGCAAACTTGAGGCGACTGCTCCCGTCTGACCTGAAAAGTGGGCCAGTGTGCCCACCGCACACCAGGCTCCAGGCAAGTCCCAGCCCTCTGGGCCTTTACAGCCTGCTCGCAGAACTCCACGAAAGGCGAGGCGGCACCTCCCTCAGGAAGCCCTCCCTGACTACCGGGCTCCCGCAGGCCCTGTCCTGACCCAGCCACAGCTCTACACGAGGCCGTGACTGTTTTCCATCAGTGCTCCCCTCCTAAAGCCCCCTGAATTGGTGGAGGGAGAGTATGACTTCCACTTCAGGACACCTGGGGCAGTGGAGAGGCTCGAGGAGGTGGGGGGTCGTGAAGGCCTGGTAGGAGTCGAGGGGGTAAATCCCCGTAAGAGAGGGGAGCCCTGAAGCCCAGAAAGGTGGATGACCCCCCCAAGGTCACGCAGGTAGGAGGCAAGAGAGCTGACCCCAGGCCCGGCACTCCAGCCTAAATTGTCACCACTGAGCACAGATTAGCCTCAGGCCACATCAGGTCCCCAAACACCAGGCACGGCCCACGAGCTCGGCTGTGTGTCCATCAGGGGGCCTCCTCCCAACTCTGGCCTGCAATCCCTCCTCCATAAAACCAGAGCTCCCCACCCCATCCTCACCCCAGCTGCCTGGTGTTCAGGATGCTCTATGCTCCACGGCGATGGCCTGGCCCCTCCTGGCAGGCAGGTGGGAGATGGGGGTGGAACAGGACAGAGCAGCCCCCAGAAGCCCCTCTGCCTCCTTCCTGCACCTCCCACACAGATCCCATCAGCCCCACAGAACCCACACTCTGTCCATTCAGCAAACATCACGGGTCCCCAGGAGATGGGTACCACGGCTGGGGAGCCCCTGCTCTGCAGGATGGAGGCCTTGGGAAGTTGGGAGCCTAAGACCCTCAGTCCCAAGAGAAATCAGTCAGATCCCCCCTCACTGCCAAAGCCTGTGTGGGGCCAGCTGGGGTTCCGAGAACCCTCAGAACAGCCCCCATCAGATCCTAATCCTCAGTCATGTCTCCTGCAGGGGGCCGGCTGAGGGGACCCAGGAAGCCCCCAACCCTGCTCCCAGCTGACTCAAGCTCCTGGTAGGACAGGAGCCAGAGGCCTGAAGCAGGGTTCCAGCCCGACCCCCTGCCTACTACCTGAGCCTCAGGTGCTAATCTGCACGATGGGGACAGTCATCCTTCTCCCCCAGGCCTGCGTGAGGAAGGGTCAGAGAGATGTCCCCACACAGCACGCCAAAACAGGGATTTCCAGCGGATTTCACCAAGGCTCCCAACTGTGGCTGACAGGTGCAGGAGAAAACAGAGAAGAACGAAGGCTGGTCGCCCCACGCCACACACCTGCACCTGGCTTCACCTTTCCCCGGGGTGGCTCAGGAGGGAGAAGCCCCCACTCCAGCTGGGCCCAGTCCACAGGGCGCGAGTGAACTGTCAGACCCCCGAAGTCCAGGTTGGGGCTGGACATAGGCGGGCTCCTCGGCTAAGACAGGTGTGCTTGGTCAGGAGGGCGAGGGGCCCAACACCCACCAGTGGGACAGGGCGGCAGCCTCCCCACAGCGAGGAGTGCTCCACCACGGGAGGCAGGAAGGAGCCCTCGGCCACGGCGCACGCACCCAGGAAAGGGGCTGCCTCTGCTTCATGCCGGACCCAGCAGCAGCACCTGGCCCTGCGCCCCCACGGAGACCCTGCAGAGAAGGCGAGCTGGCTCCAGCTTCGGGATGAGGCAATGAAGGCTCAGAGAGGCCGAGTGCTTGCCCAGAAGCACCAGCAGAAAGGGCAGGGGCAGGACGCATGCCCAGGTCCGGTTCGCCCCACAGCCCACAGCCCATAGCCAGGAGCAGAGGTGGCGGGGGATGGAGACAGGCTGGTTTCCACCCCGTGAATTATTCAGTGGCTAATTCTGCTCCTCAGAGAGGAGGCAGGAGAGAGAGTGAGTCAGAGCCTTCCCACGGTGGAGGAGGGAACACAGCTGACGGAGGCGGCCAGAAACGGGGGGCCTCTCCGGGGCCGGGGCCCTGCAGGAGCCTGGGCTGCTCTCCCCACCACGTGTCCTGGAACCCAGCTGGGAGGCCCACGGGAGGACCGTGGGCAGCCCGGAGGGCAGGGGAGAGGCAGCCAGTCCCAGCACGGTTGGCGGCATGGGCAGGAGGCAGCCACAGGCCACAGGAAAGCTCCGCAGGGTCACAGACACCCCCGGTGCCCCAGGGGCTCCCCTGGAGCTGCAGAACTGACAAACGGCACGGGACTTCCTCAAGCAAAGCGCGGCCTGGCCTGTGGAAGCAGAGCCCCCAGGGACCGGCGTGGCGGGGCTGACACAGGAAGTTCCTGGGGAGCACAGAGTGCTGCCCCAACACCGGTCATCCCCCAGGCTGGGGTTCTAGAGCCTGGGTGTGGGGTTAGATAAAACCCTGCTGTCTCTGGACGTGCATGGGCCGACCCCTCGCCTGCTTTCTATCTCCTCACTAGGGCAGCAGGGCTGGGGGCAGGCGCCTGGCGAGCACTGAGGCTGGGAGCTTGGGGCTCCCCGCAGAGATGCGGAGCCCACAGTGCCCTCACCTCTGCTTCCGGCTCCCCTCTCCCAGATAAGAGAGGACATGCAGGACGGAGTTCTGAACAGGGAGGCATGACGGCCCATAGAATCCTGGATTCCCAGGCCATCCTCACGAGCAAAGTTGTCTACCCCACCGCCAGTCCGAGCAATGATTGCCAGACAGAAGCCCGGAGGTGTTCCAGGTGACCAGGCACCCAGGTCATGAGGCTGCTGGAATCCAGGTCCCCAGGCAGAAGGAAATGCCTACAGCCTAGTGCCTTGCCCTGCACTCAAATGACAGTGGCTCAGCAACAGGGGTGGCACTGAGATTTGGCATGACTTCAGGTCAAGGGCTCCACTGGGAGAGACTGGTCACTTGGGGAGAGGGCTGCGAAGGGCCCCACGACCCCCCGGGTCCACCTAGGCTCAGCTCCTCTCAAGCCTTGCAGACTGAGATCCACCTTGCATCCCTGTGGCCTGGCCTCCTCCCTTAGGGGCCACTGGCAGCCAGTCTGGGAAGGCCAGGTGTCACCACAGCACACACTGCACTGTGTGTACATCCTACAGCCAGCAGCCCAGCAGGTCGCAGAGCCATTGGGTCCCATGGGGAGGGGGCTCTGCCCGCGAACAAGTCCCCCCACACACACACACACCCATGATAGGCAGGGGGGCCTGGGCAGGAGCTGACAGCTGGCAGAGGCCGTTCTGTGGAAAGGAGGCGGCTCCAGTAACCCCAGAAAGGAGGGCCTCAGTGACAGCAGAAGAGAAGGCTAGAACCTGCAGGAGGGCCGCGGACCCCAGATGGGGACGTGGGAGGTCCCTGGACTCTGGAAAAGGAGAGACCCGGGGCCCAGGAGGAGACCCTCGAGAAGAAAGGGGGCCGTGACCCTCGATGGGGGAGGGGCCGTGACCCGGGGCCCTGACCTCCGCCCCCGCGTCACCTGCTGGTAGTCGGTGTCCTCGGGTCGGAACTGGCTGCTGGTGGCCTCCCAGCGCAGGTCGACGTGGGGCAGCCGGTGCAGGAGGCTCACCCACCAGGGCGCCGCGTAGCTGACCCCGGCCATGGCCGCCTCCGGCGCGCGGCCGCCGCGGGGCTCCTCGCTGGCCCGGGGCGCCGGTTCAGGGGCCCACCGACCTGGGCTTGACCGTCCGCATCGCCCGCGCGCTCCTGGACTCTTCTCCCCGGCTGAGGGGCGCCAGGCAGGAAAGGCGGGGAGGACCCGCCAGCCCTGGCGTTGGGAACCAGGCAGCTCCGCCCACCCTGGACTCTTCTCCCCGGCTGAGGGGCGCCAGGCAGGAAAGGCGGGGAGGACCCGCCAGCCCTGGCGTTGGGAACCGGGCACCCCCTGAGCCCAGCTGCGGTCTCCCCATCCGTAAAGGGGGATGGAGGCCGGAACGCTAGCTGCACGTCTGGCAGCGCTTCACCCGGGCGCTCGCTCGTTGGCGCGACCGTTGCACATTCATCGAGCCTCTGTGGGCGTCGGCCTGGAGGGGCTGGGCTGGGCTGGGCTGGGCTGGGCGGGCCAGGGCACCCGGCAAGGGACCCAGCGGCCTGTCTGTAACATAAGGGTAATCTGGATTCAGAGCCTGGCTTGGTTACCTAGAGCTGTGTGATCTTGAGCAAGTCACTTAACCTCTCTGTGTATCAATGCTCTGGTCTGAACGGGACATGCAGTGAGTGTAAAGTGCTCAAAGCATCAGACTGTGTAAGGGGGTGGGAGGGCAGGTTCAGTCCCTACCTGGCCTTCCCTTTGGGGAAGGGTGTGTTTCGTCCAAACCTGGGAGGAAGACAGTGCCCTGTCCTGCCATCCTTGGACCTGGAAATTTGGGCAACTGCCAAGGAGGGCGGAGCACAGACTTCGAAGCCACACAGCCACGCTTCCTAATGGGGTGTCTCCGTGTTATTAAAGTGGAGATGGGGACCTGAGAACAGGAGCTGTAGGTGCTTGGCCCCAGTGTACCCCTCTCTCTGCACCCAGGGTCAGCAGGTGTATCCTCTTGGCTTTGGCTTGTCACCACCCTGGGGCATTTTTCCTGGACCTCCTGTGTTCTGAGAAACAGGCTTCTGCACCTGGGGCTCTGCCACCCGCTGTGCTCCTGCTCAGCCAGCTCTGTGAGCACACAGGGTCCTCCTGGCAGCCTGGGCTGGGCCCTTGCAGGCAAGGACAGCTCTGGACAGTGCCTTCCCAAGAGGCCTGTCCATCTGCTCATCCAAATGCCCTGACTCGCCTGTTTTCCTGTGATAAGGCCAGTGGCCTCACTCGGTGTCCCGCAGAGGCCAGCAGGCATGGGAAGGGTGTGGCAAGAGGCCTTTGTAAAGCTGCGGTTTCCACTGTCGGGGTAATCTACAGACACCACCCAGCTGCAGAATAATGGCCAGGCAGGAGCGGGGAGGTCACACTCTCCAGCCCTACAGGGCACGGTTGCTGGCTCCTGTTATCGGCAGCAGCGGATCACAGAGCCACAGACCCTTGCTTTGCCTCCACTCCCATGCCACCAGCACTAGTGTGGCAGGCCCAGCGGGGTAGGTCCTCCTATGGAGGTATAGGGTCATGACCTCCTTTCCATGTGTCCATAAGTCTCACAATATCGTGCATCTTCCTCCAATAAAGACAGAAAGCCTGACCCAAACATTATATGAAATGATAACTCCAGCATACTGGGCTGAATTGTGTACCCCAAAAAGATCTTTCCAATTCCTAATTTCTGATACCTGTGACTGTGATAGGAAATAGGGTCATTGCAGATGTGATCAAGTTAAGATGAGCTCATATTAGGTGATAGGGGGCCCCATGACAGTGTCCGGATAATAGATAAATTTGGATGCACTGAAGCAAAGATACACAGACATGGGTGAGCACCATACGAAGACAGGCAGAGATGGGGGTGACCTGTCCACAAACCAAAAAACCCTGAGGATCGCGGGAGCCACCAGCAGCTGGGAGAGGCCTCAAGCACTTTGCTCCTGTTTCTGGTCTGCGGTCCAGCACGAGTGCGTAAGGGTGACAGAGAGGGTGCCGGGTGTGGAGGCGGGGCACAAGGAAGGCCTCCCCCGCCCCCCGCTCTGCCCACAGGCATTGGCTGCATGGTTCTGGGCGACTGTGGCTAGAGGCTGGCCTTCAGCCCCGCCCTGCCGATGGAGAAACTGTGACTCAGCTCCCGCCACTGCCGGGGCAGTGTGAGGTCAGCACCCAGGCAAGGAACCGAGTCCAGGCCCGTGCTGCTGGCCACAGACGGGGACCTGACGTAGGGCACTAGTGGCCCAAGGAGTTAGAGAGGGCTCGGTCTGCAATGCCGGCCACTGACCAGGGCACCAAGGAATATGCCTTCGATGACTCAGGGGTGACTCAGGAGGGGCAGCCGATGGGGAGCCCGCTAACCCTCCTAGGCTGAGGAAGTCTCCCCCACCTGGTGGCGATAAGGCACCGCAGCATCCCAGCTCCCTACCACAGGGCCGGAGGGCCCCGGTACTGCCAGCCCTCGAGGGCAGGAAGGACAGCCCTGACCAGGTGCCCCTCAGTGCCTACACCCACGATGGCCCCCAGCCCCGGGCCAGACTCCCATAGAGGGCACGGCAAGGGGGTCGTCGAGGCTCAGAAATGAAGAAACTTGCCCCTAATCCACGCGTTCCAGGGACAGATGCGCCTCAGTTTCTTTTATTTTAAATGCACCTGAAAATCGTCGTTCTCTGGGGGTTCGCGAGGTCAGGGCTGTGTGTAGAAACCTGAGGCGCGTGTCCCCGCAGACGGAGTGGGCACGTGCCCGCTCTGTCTGCGGTCACCACCCTCGCTCTCGCCCAGGTCTCCTTGCTTTTCACATTAACTATCCCATGTCCAAGTCACAGCTCCTCCCACGGGAATGTGAGCTGCGTATAAAGCAACGTGACACACAGCAGCACTGTTCACGTTAGCCCGAAGTTTCAAAAAACCACGTGTCCATCGGCCGACAAGCATGGAGACTAACTAGCTGCAGTCCAGCCACACGCTGGAGTATTACTCAGCCATGAAAAGGGACGAGGCACCGACACACGCTGCACCGTGGATGAGCCTCAGAAACGTGATGCCGAGTGACGGAAGCCGGACACAAAGGGCCACGTGGTGTGTGATTCCATTTGCTGAAACATCCACCCCAGGCAGATCCTCAGAGGCAGGACGTGAGTCAGCGGTCGCCAGGGGCTGGGGACGGAGCGGGGGGAATGACTGCTTGGTGAGTATGGGGTTTCTTTTCAGGGTGATGAAAAGGTTTTGGGAATAGTTTGTGATGACGGTAGTGAATATTGCGGATGTGCTCAATGCCACTGAATGGTACACTTAAAAATGGTTAAGATCATGTAAAATTACCCCACACGCTCCAAATGTGGTTACGTGTGAAGGGGTCTCCCATGGTGTCCCCCCTCCCCCCTCAAGTGACGTGGAGTTTGTGCGTGAAGCACAGGGACGAGGACGTCTACTCGCTGAGGTCTGAGCTCCTTGGAAGCCTCTGGCAAAAGTATCTGGAATGGAGGGGGCAGGCCAGGCCAGGCCAGGTGCTTCCCAGGGTCCATCTCCCAGGCCAGGAAGGTGGTTGGATTAAGGCTCCTGAATGGTTGCTTCAAGACCCCTGGGAGCCTGGAGAGAGGCCAGGCGGGCCGGGCCCCCAGACGCTGGAGCGGAAGCCAGAACAATGGGATCCCCTGTGTCTGGACCTCGTCCAAAGACGTTCATATTTTCCGTGGAGATAGAGCTCATGAGAAAGCTGGAGGCCAGTTCCCCGGCGCCTGCCAAGACGTGGCTGGGCACAGCCAGTCCAGCGCCTACTCACCACAGACACCAGACACCTGGCTCGTGGGGCCCGGCCGCAGGAAGACTGCGGGAGCCCCTCTGTCAAGCCGGCCACGGTGAAACTGGCCCCACGGCTCTGCAGGCTGGGAGAGATGCCAGCCAGCGTGGTCCCAAGAGGTCCACAGAGCCAGCCAAACATGGAGCCAGCCAGGATGAGAAGTGAGCAGCCTCACTTGTCTGGGGTCACCGAGCCGGTAGCCTCGCCTTTCCAGAAAGCCCCTGGGAACAGAACATCGGCAGGGGCGGCCTCTGAGCAGCCAGGGTACTGTTCCAAGTGCCCGCACGCAAGCGTAATGCCTTGCTCAGAACCCCCTCGCTCTAACTGACACACACCACCAACAGGGCTGGTCTTGGGCTAAGCCCGATGCAGAGCGTAACAGCCCCGAGGGAGGCAGACCCAGGGCGGGTCTGGGAGGAGATGGGCGCCAGACAAAAAGAAGTCGCAGAGACCCCCTCCCCCATGTGGGGCAGCTTCCCCCTGGCCCCCGGCTCCTGCCCGCCGCCCGGCCGCACCCAGCAGCTGAGTTCGCGGAGAGGACCTGGGCTCATCTCGAGCTGTGCCCACCGACGACGAGCTCTTTGGGGACCTACGTCACCTCCGGAAATCCTGGTGTTCACGTAGCCCAGCTTCCCCATTTTACAGCTGGGGAGACGGAGGCCCTGAACCCCAACCCCGATTCGTCAAGAAAGCAGGAAGCTACGTTCAGTAGCTGTTTGTAGCCCAGGACGGTGACGGGCGAGCCAGACAGTCCACGAGCACGCCCGGCTCAAGGCCCGACGGCTGATCACCTCCCTCATCCTACAGACAAGGAAACGAAAGCCCAGAGGGTGAGGCGGCCCCCACAGGGGCCCGAGCTGGGAAGCCGGGGGCAGCGCCCCCCTCCCAGCAGGTGAGGAACGGCCCGGCCCACACCGAGGTCTGGCCTTCGCCGTCAGAGTCAGGGAGGATGTCTACGTCGCATCTGATAGGCGTGTCTTTGTTTACGGCGGGGCGGGTCACATCGGAGACCAGCTGCGTGACTTAAGGGCTCTGGGCCACACAGCATTAGTCCACCTGGTAGCCGTGTGGGCGACCAATGAACCAATCAGTTGTGCCTACGTAACTGAACCCCAATAAAAACCTTGGACACCAGAGCTGGAGTGAACATTGGTCGGTGACATTGCATGCATTTTGTCACGTCAATACCAGAGGGTCACACATTCTTCTCATTTGGACCCTCTGAGACTCTGCCCCCGGCATCTCCTTCTCCGGCTGATTTTAATCTGTGCCCTTCGCTGTAATAAAGTGTAACCGTGAGGATATCAGCTTTCAGTGAATTGCGTCCTTTTGGCAAATTATCAAAAAT